GCCGGCTCTGGACAGGCCATGCAAGTGGCTGTGGCGGCAGGTGGACCCGTGGTGGCCTGTCTCCTTGCCCCCCCCCACCCCCATAGTTGCTGTGTTCCTGCCGATGTGCACTGAGGGACGTGCCCAGCCGCCGCCCTTCTGATGGCCAGAGAAGCAGAAAGCTGGCTTTCTGTACCCTTCGGATATCTCCATGTGGGCACTGATGCAAGGCCATAGGAGGTCCCTGTGCAGACCAAGCCGGTCCAGCTGGCTGCCGGGCCCAGAGGCTGCTGGGAGCCCGGGACTGTGTGGGATGCCAGGTTCCTCCTTGCTCTGAGACCCTCACTGTCCGTGGTTAAGATACCTGGCCGCTGGCCACAGAGCTGGAGAACGTGTGAGCCAAATGATCAGGGAAGACTTCTTGGAGGTGGTGCCATAGACAGGAGGCACAGGCTGTGGTTGGGGGCAGTGTGGATGGGAGAGGAGAAACAGGCGTGCGAAAGTGTGTGTGGTGTGGCTTGTGTAGGGCACCGCTGGGGGAGGAGGCGACCAGGTCGCCGAGTGCGGGCTCGCACCTTCCTGGCATGCTCGGCTGGTGCTTGGGCAGTGTGCATCTCCGTGGTGGAGACGAAACCATGTGTCGTGGGCCGTTGGCCTCTGCCCGGGAGATGCCACAGCCCCCGCCCCCGCCAGTGTGAGGACTCAGATGTCTGGACATGGGGGCAGTTACTGCCCACTGAGGACCATGCTGCACGTGGACGCCCTCGAGCAGCCGACTGGCTCCGTGCCCTGCGCTGAGCAGGGTCCTCAGCTGGCTCTGTGGCTGTCCCCTGCCCCCTCTGTGGCTGTCCCCTGCCCCCCGGTGAGCGAGCTCTCCTTCCCAGAAAGGGCAGACGGGGGCTTTCCTGTGGCTGTAGTCGGCGGCAGGTGTGTGGACAGGACCTCAGACATCTGGATGGAAAACGAGAAGCTGTCACCCAGATGTGTTGCTCACCCCTGCTGGTTGTCATCTGGGGCCGGCCATGCGTGACGACGCTGTCGCTGCTGGGGGAGCTATTTGTGGCTCAGGCTCCGGGGTGTGAAATCGTCCCTGCGGGGCTGAGGCACCTCCACACTTCACCGCATCATGCCAGCGTTGCTGTTGGTCTAGGGGAGTTGGTCCTCGGCTCCTGGCTGGGGTCTCCCTTGGGACCTCACCGGGCTTGTGTAGGGGACTCTGGGGCACCCGAACTCGCACACGCAGATAGAGACTTGCTTTTTATTTCTGGAGAGGTTTTTGCTATAGGTGCGTGCGCTCACCAGACAGACAGAGAGAGACAGAGAGATAGAAAGCTAGAAATCACCCCCCAGGGGGGATGGTCATGCCGCAATCCCTTCTCCTCCATTCTCCTCTTGGGATCTTGGGCACACATGCACACACGTGCAGCATGAGTTTAAGCCACCGGGTCCGGGACTCGAACCGCAGTCGACTACATGGGAGTCCAACTACATTGTCATTATGCTAACTGCTGGTCCTGACAAGGACGTTTTTTAGGTTGGCCTCCTGGGTCCTGGCTTGTGGTTGCTCTAAAGCCCGTGTCAAGGGTGGGACCCAGGAGACCCCTGGGCCTGTACCCCCATCCCTGCCCCCCTTCCCCGAGGTGCCTGGAGTCTCGCTGGTGTTAACACATGGTCCCGGAGACTGGTAGCTGCTGTGACCCCAAGCACATCAGGACGTCTGGGCCAGCGCAGAGGAAGGGGCTGCTGGCCGTGTGGGGGCTGGGGGCCGGCCTGTGCTCTCAGGTGCCCT